AGCTACTTGGAAGGCTGAGGCAGAAGGATTGCTGGAGCCCAGCAGGCGAGGCTGCGGTGGCCGGGAGCGGCCACTGCACTCCAGTCTGGGCAACAGAGTGAGACTCCAACTCAAAAAAAAAATAAAAATAAAAAAATAAAAGCCTACAAGAGTAAGCCAGAAGAGCCAGCTCATCAAAATCTCATTAAGAAGTGGAATTCCAGCAGCCCAGCATTGAGACCCACAGAGCAGTACAGAACCCAAATGTGGCGAAAGCATGTCTTCACTTCATTCTGGAGGTGACAGCAGTCAGCACTCTCAACTAAGTCTGATGTCTTGAGACAATAACATATAATAGGTGAGCAGAAAAATATAGGGACCAATTTCCAAACAAAAATAATAGCTGGGCTGACAATAAGAAGGTAGACATAGGAACCAGAGGTAATAGTAGAAATTGTAAATTAGCAGTACCTTCTATGTTTGTCTTTGGCAGCTGTAGTTCTCAGAGAAAGGTCTCCTTAATTGTTGTGATAACACCCTGAGCTTCTGAGGCCTTGAAGATTATTAGAGAAGGAAAAATCAAGAATAGTGATGATAAAGGCCACCTTGTACCTGAAAAAGCTAAAATGGTGATCACTCAAAACCTTTTAGAATTTTGCAGTGATTTTTGTAAAAAATTTTTGAAGGGGAACTAGAGGTCTTATAAGGGTGGGTGAGTGCAGAGTCAGAAAATACAGTGTAGAACTCGGAATGCAACCCTCACTTTATGGCTGGTATGATGAGGCCAGGAGAAACTTTATAGAACTTGAGGAAAAATTGTTCTTAAGTATTTAAGAAGAGTAAGTTTAAGGAGGGATAAGAACTTGAAAGAATCCTTTTGTTTATATTTAGAGATCATTTTCACTTAGGTTTGGATTCACCCTTTCCAACAGACTGTTTTTAAAGGACTTGTTATTACCCCCATTTCATAAAGGAAGGAAGTGGACCTTCTTTCCTCAAGTTTCCAAGGTTCCAAAGTTGATGAATAAGAATGTCTGGATTGACCCTTGGAGCTAATGAGTCAGCCTCTGACAAATGTTCCAATGAGGTTTTAGTGTCCTAAATGTTTTCTCATTTGTTAGGTGGTAGGTACCACTTTTAAACCAGGCATTTCATGGTTAAGTATGAGTTTTAAAAACTGTGAAAGGAAAGGCATAATTACAAAAGCAAATTCTCGATTTACTAAGTTGTATATGATGTTGTTTATAAAGAATAACCAGAAGCTGGTTGGAGCAGCACTGGTGGTTCCTGCTCCTATGAAGCTTATATTATGTTATGAACGGGATGCTTATGACCTAGAATTCCTGTGTTGCAATTCTAATGCATTGGTATTTGGGGGTGGACATCTTTGGGAAGTAATTAGATTTAGATTAGGAATTATAGTGGGCCACTTATGATGGGATTAGTGCCCTTATAAGAAGAAGGAGAAAGTAGTACCCTTATAAGAAGAAGGTTGAGGTGTGGTGGCCCTAGCAGGCTCCCAGAGAACAGGTGGCGCAGGATGTTGCCTAGATTTGCCTGAATCAGACATCATCTCTTAGAAACAGGATCCTTGCTTCAGGTAGTTGTGTCCTCCCTTGAGCCACTGGAATAAAATAAAATAGAGATTGAGAAATTTAAAAGAATGATTAGGACAGTATTTGTTTGTTTGTGATTTTGTGTTGTCAGCAGGCTCAGAGGAAGGCTATTCAGTAATGCCTCAGGAGTCCTTGACAACCCTATAAATTCCCCAACCCCTTTCCATCCTTTGATGATATACTGAACCATGCCAAATGCTACTTCTTAGCTCAAACAACAACAAACTCCCATAATATATGCCTATGCAATTAATTTTCTTAGAACTTTTTACTATAAAACTTTCAAATATAATCATAGAGAAAATAGTATAATGACCCTCTGTATATGTATTATCCCCCTTCAACAATTATTTACACAGAGTTAACTGTAATTCTAAATGATTATTTAAAAATATATGCTATGGCATAGATTGCTATTTCTTTCCTAAATGTGTTCACCTCTTCTATTATTGCAGAAACCCAGAGTTATAGCTACCTAGAATAGTGACTGTATTTTCCATTCTAACCTGCAGCTAGGTCTGACCATATGATTCGGTTCTGACCAATAAGATGTTAGCAAAAGTGATTGGTATAACTTCTAGGTATGCCCTTTAAGGGAAGGGGCATGACATTTCCTTCCCCCTTCCCCCTCTACTTATCTGTTTTGCAGATAAGGAAATATAGTGTCTTGGACCAGAGACAAAGACCACACACCTTAATGATGGTAGAGTCACAAAATAGAAAGTGTCCTGGTCTCTGAAGACTTAGCAGAGTAGAAATTCCACACAGGGTTGGATTGTTACGCGAGAGAGAAATAAACATCTATCCAATTTATTATGTGTGGACCTCTAACTTAAACCACATTTTACTTGAGTCTGTGATACCAGCATAAAACCAACATCCTAACTGATAGCCTGGATATATGATTGTATAATGTTTGGTGAGAGAAATCTGAGCATGTGTTATTAGTGGCAGTTCTGTGATTTGATGGTGTTTATTATGTTTTATTTACATTACAGATAATTTATCTTGTTATTATTTAACAAATGTTTCCTGAGTGGCTGCCATATATGTACCAGGCACTATTCTAGATGTTGGGACTAAATCAGTGAACAAAAGGCAAAAATTCCTGTCCCTATGAAGCTTATGTTATGTTATGTATGGAATGCTTATGACTTAGAATTCCTATGTTGCAATTCTAATGCATTGGTATTTGGGGGTAGACATCTTTGGGAAGTAATTAGGTTTAGATTAGGAATTATAGTGGGCCACTTATAATGGGATTAGTGCCCTTATAAGAAGAAGAAGAAAATACCCTTATAAGAAGAAGAAGAAGAATGAGAGATTCCTTACTGAGGAAAAGCTATGTAAGGACACAGTGAGAAGATAGCTGTCTATGAACCAGAAAGAGAGCCCTCACCAGGGTCTGAATCTGCAGCCATCTTGATCTTGGACTTCCTGTCCTCCAAACTGTGAGAAATAAATATCTGTTTCAGTCACCCAGCCTATGATATTTTGTCATAGCAGTCTGAGTTAAGACATATTCTAATAGATTTTAACTTTCTGCTTCAACTTTTTATTACCAACTCATTTATTCATTAATTCAACAGATATGTATTGAGACCTAACATATGAGATCTGACAACCAAGTTCATGAACTCATCCAAGAAAACGTGCTCCACACTTCACTGCTGAATATCACTGTGGTCACCTTTGAAGTACTCCTCTTGGGAAGATACACTGATATCACTGCCTAGTCCACCTGTCAAAGCAATTTTGGAACTCTTTTTCAGGAATGGCCATTAGAGCTGTCATTGTGAGAATGTTGGAGTTTGAATTAGGGCAATGAACAAATGTTAAATTTCTTGTTAAACTTGGCAAGAGTGGAACTAAAATCAGGGGCATGTTAGTCCAAGTTTATGGGGATAACGCCAATAATAAAATGGCAGTGTACAAATTAATTTAATGTTTTTCAGAGGGGAGAGAAAGCATCACAGATGAAGAAAGGACAGGGTGGCAAGTAATAAGCAGAACTGATGAAATATTGCAAAAATGTGTTGAATTGTGCACCAAAATAGCGAGAAGCATAGCAGATCAAATAAACATCGATAAAGAAACAAAAAAATCTTAACTAGAAATCCTGTCATAAGGAAGTTGTGTGCAAAAATGGTCCCAAAGGAGCTCTTGCATCACGGCAATGCACTGGCTCACACAGCACAGTCTGTGAGGGAGTTTTTAGCCAGTACACAAATAATTGTATTGGAACACTCTCCCTACTCACCTGATCTGGCTCCTAATGACTTTTTTCTTTACCTGAAGATAAAGGAAATATTGAAAGGAAGACATTTTGATGACATTCAGGACATCAAGGCCAATACGATGACAGCTCTGGTGACCATTCCAGAAAAAAGAGTTCCAAAATTGCTTTGATGGGTGGACTAGGCTCTGGCATTGGTGCACAGCTTTCCAAGGGAATCCTTTGAAAGTGACTATAGTGATATTCAGCAATGAAGCATACAGAAATTTTTCTAGAATGAGTTCGCAAACTTAATTGTCAGACTGTGTATGTCAAACTCTATTCTAGGTATTCAGGATGCAATGATAGGAAAAGACACAAAATCTGTCTGCTCTTGAGGCTTATTATATCCCAGAGAGAGATACAGTCTGATAAGCAAGATCAAGAAATATTACTGAAATAGTTTAGTAAATAGTGATAAACACTAGGAGTAAAGTCAAGCAGGAAAGGGTGATGAGAAGAAGGGAGGATGGAATGTATTAGATGCTATCATCAGATGTGATCCCCTCACTAAAAAGGAAATATTTGAATAGAGACATGAAGGGTTGATGGAACAAATCATGCAGACACCTGGGGGGGGAGGGGTGAGGAGCAGTCCAGGCGGAAGAAATTGCAAGTGCAAATGTCAAAAGGTGATAACATGTTCTGAACACTTCAATGGGACCCATGTGGCTAAAGTTAAGTGAACCAGGAGGAATCTAGTAAGAGAGACAGTCTTATCCTTTAGGGCTTTGTAGGGCCCAGATGGCTTGAAAGCTCAGCCATCTCTTGCTTAATTAAAGCCTAGACATCTTTGCTTTACTCTTGCAGTATTTTCTTTTTTTATATTACTTCTGGTGCAAATATTATCTCTACAGCTCAACCATCTGCATAGTCCTATGGGCAAGTGCACGTTGTTGTCATGGAAAAACCACATGGTTGGACTATGGACACAGGAGCAAAACCACATGTGATGGTCAGATGAGTGAAGCTGAAGTTTGGCAGGTGGGCAATAGTGAAGAGAGGAAGCATGGAACAGGAAGTGGTGAGGGATCATGAGGTGAAAGGCTTTGGATGTTGGCAGTGAATAAGGTAAGGTCCCAGTAGCCTCTTTTTAGCACCAGCTATTGTGATGACTGAGATGTCTTGCTTGCAGTAATGCTAATATATAGAAGGAGGGAAAGAGCCTCAAAGATATAAATTTGGGAAATTTTTGGAGAAAACGTTCCAGTTTGGCCACATGGAGGGAGAGATATAAAACAGGCTGACCGAAATAGTTTTATCTGTACGGTGACAGTAGCTGAGGGCACAGAAAGAATATGACCAAAATGAGTTCTCATGTGTCCTCACATGGCCTCTCCTCAGTACTTATGTTATCCTTATTGCCCTGATTTTTAGAGGTATCACTTTATTATAAAAACCGTATAATCAGAAAAACAGTTAATAGTGAAGTAAAAAGTAATTAGAGGTGGGGCTATATGTGGTTTCTGTAGTCTCCCTATGAGGGAAGGGCTGGAGGGGAGTTTGAAAAAGGTTTCTTGCAACTAGTGAAAAGGGAAGGATTTGACTTAGTACAAAAGGGCTTACTTGATCCTGAGTTCTGAAGAAAGCTTCCACATATAGCTGACATTTCAATTCTGACACTGACCTTGATTGGAGTCAATGCAGGAAACAAGTAATGGAGTGGCATGGAGTTCTACTGCATGGTCCATGCTTAGGGGAAGCCCAGAATCCTGAGCCATGAAAGGTGCTTCTGCATTCTTCTAGCACTAGGATTGCTTTCCAGGCCCTAACGGACTGGACCTGCCCAGTGGGAACAACAGGACAGGGAGGCAACTCTATAGCACAGAGGCTGGTTTGGATCAAACAAACGGGTGACAGAAAATAGGTGATGAGAGATGCTGAAGGTATTGTCTTTCACATGGTTTATAAACAAAAGAAACATAAAAGGTAAAGAGAGAGAGAGAGAGAAAAGAAAATAAATGATGGGAAATGGAAAACGTCCACATTTCCTCTGTCAACCTTGCGCTGCACCTCTGTCTTTCTGAAGGGTTATTCAAGTAGAAGGCCTGAGACTGTGTCAAGCTCAACAGAATGGGATAGTTTATACAGCCGATTCCCTATGGTTGCCGTGAGCAATACAGTGGAGGGTGGCAGTCTGTGTGCTACATATTTGCTATCTCTACACTAAGTTATTTTTTAAAAAAATAATAATGACAAATATGTCTGATAAATTTTTCTTTTAGAACATATCTTAAATTTGAGAACATTGGAACTTTGTGTCCTAAGAAAGCCTAGGAATCCCAAGGTCAAAAAGTATACATAATAACAATTTAGATTTTGTAAGGATATAGCAAAAAAAAATTCCCAAGTTAGTCAATGAAAAAGACATAAACTGTGTTTCTTTCTATTTTCTCACTCAACAACAATCAACACAGAATACTTCTGTGACCACCAGCTGGGTGTCTTCCACTTCAATTCTGACACCATCTACCTGGAGATAGAATCGGATATTACAGGGTGAGAGCTCATTCCTCAAGACTGCCCCTTCTCCCTTCCAATGCCAAGCACAAGCCTAGGTTGTTTTACCCGTGCTTCTGACGGACTGGCTATACACTGGGAATTCCACAACCCCCCTCCTTGGGTTCTATTTATTTGCTAGAGCGGCTTATAGAACTCAGGGAAAAACTTGCATTTACCAGCTATTATAAAGAATATCACAAAGGATACAG